CGGGCCGTTGTAAATGTATCGCGTGAAGGTCCGCCCAAACATGTATATCTGCCCATGCACGCACACCCGGTCAGAAGCGAGCGACTTTATTTGGAGATATCGACGGTACCATCATGGACGGGAATGCCATGATTCGCGCGCGGCGGCATAGCTGCACGGCATTGTCCTGGGTGCAGTCGACGCGGGCCATCGTGACGCGCTCGGCATACTCAGGATGGTCCTGCAGCTGTAACGCGGTTGCTTCCCACACAGGCAGCAACGCCTGCGAGTACGGACACCACGGAGCGTAGTAGTTGACGAGGACAAGGTCGTACTTGGACATGAACTCGTCAAACGTGGTCACATCCAAAAGCGGCGAGATCGTTTCGCCGGCGTGGAGGTCGTGGTTTATGTTTCCCCACGTCGCGACTTGCTCGGCCATGAACACTTCCTTGTGTCGGGCGAGAGTCCTGCGCATCAGGTAGCACGTCAGATGAGAATCGACAATGAGGACGAGAGTGCGTTTCGATGGTACCCGTCCGCCGTCTGAACCAGCGAAACGCGACGGACGTGCCGCGTGATGTTGGTGAACTTGAGGCCGAGGTGGTCGCTCAGGTCGATGGACAAGTGACGGCACGGAATCGCAGGGATCGACACGTTAAAGTTGATTCGGAGCAGATCTTCTTGATGCGAGTCCAGAATCACGCTCGACACCGTGTTCGACGAGTACGCGTAACCAATGTACTCAGCAACGATGAGGTATGTCATGACGACAATCGTGATGAGCGTGAAGATGCCTGACGACACCGAGGTCGTCTGCAAGTCCTCTGGGACTTTCCTACATCGCAGTGAGCTACCGCTTTCATCCCTCGAGCGGCGGCACTACCGGAACAGGTCGAACGACGGCGCCATCGGTCCGGGGGCAAAATTGCTTTGGCTACGAACTACGCGAAAAAGCGAAGTTCGAAGTCATTCCTCACTGCAGCAGATGCACAACCCACCAACGAGAGATGGACCTCGTTGTGGACGCGCGCGGCGGCACGAGGTAGCGCCCGATGGTACTCTCGTGCTCCAGCCACGACAGGGGAGTGTCCCTCACGGTGTGTCAATCAGTGGTGGCGGTCCATGGCTATTGTCGAGCTGCATGAGTAAGCGCTATTCTCGTTTTATATGGCCTCGTGACACCAGGTTACGTCACGCCTGCAGTCCCAGCCACGAACGGAATAAG